AACAACAACAACAATGGAAGTTCTAGACTGTTGTTGTTGTTGTTGTTATTTGCCGTCGAGTTGCCCCCGACTCATAGCAACTCCTCCTTGGGTTTCCGAGGCAGTATCACTACGGAAGTAGGATTGCCCAACCTTCCTAGACTAGGAAAGTCCAAAAACAATTTGGAATTAAAGTGAATTTCCACTTGAACACGGATATAGCAAATGCTATGAGATTTTATTTCTCAAAATGAGTAACACTGAAACAATCTGGGAAGAGACTAGTATTCCCTGTCTGACCATTGCACAAAACTGGACTTCTGTGCAGGGTAACAATTTTTCAGCCAGCACCAGCCTAAATAGATGTGCCATATCAAAATGCCAAGTATAAGACAACATGCTATTAAAGAATTACTGTTCATTTATAAATTGTGATATTGGTCTAACAGCTATGTTTTATAGAATCTTAGTGTTTAGAGATACATATCAGAGTAATTATAGATAAAATAGTATCAGCAATTTGCCTGAAATTAAAACACAGTTGGGGATAAACAGTGTGGGGAATAGAGATAAAACAAGTGTAGCTATGAGTGGTAGTATAGTGTCCAAGGTACTTGACTGCTAACCAGAGGCTGGCAGTTCAAACCCACTAGCCACTCCTCAGAAGGAAGGATGGGCTCGCTATGAGTCAGGTCCAACTCGAGGGCACATAACAACAACTGCTGATGCCATTATACTCTTCTCCCTTCTCCCATTTATGGTGAAAACTTCCACAGTAAAAAAGTTAAAAACCAACCAACCAACCAACTTCTCTAGTCAAATATTTTGATTTGAAATGCAAAATAAAGGTAAGTACAGTGTGAGATAGTGGCAACTCACACAAGGTCAGTCTTCCTAGAATTTCCACTCTAACTGGAAGGTTAAAAGGTCAGAAATGAGAAAAATGCCTCTGATCCATAGAAACAGTGATTATTTTCAGTACATATCCAAAACTGCTCTGACATCAGGATTACAGTCAAGAGTCAGCTGACTCATACTTTATATAAAATTCTAATATGTATGTTTATTGAATTTCTTAGCTTACAGCATATTTCCTCAAACAGAGGCAAAAGACTGTTCATTGTCTAATAGGATGGGAAAAGAGAACAGCTCTGTAAGACATGAAGTTTGCCAGTAATTAACACAACTTCATAAACAACAGTAACCTGTAATGTCAGTGGAAAGGCCATGGGCTTTGAAGTCAAACACAGATCAAGTTCCATAGCCACTTACTAGCTATATAATCCAAATAAAATCACTTAACCTCAGTTTTCTTCTCAGAGAAATGAGAGTTGTAGCTACCTTAACGGGTTTATCGTCCTTAAAAGCGACGGGGAAAAAAAACAAACTCACTGCTGTTGAGTCAAATCCAACTCATAGTGACCCCTGCTTGGATTTCCAAAGCGGTATCTCTATGAGAATAGATTGCCCATTCCTCCTTCGAGGAGTGGCTGGTGGGTTTGAACCGCCAGCCTTCTAGTTAGCAGTCAAATGCCTTACGCACTATGCTACCAGAGCTCCTTAAAAAGGAGGTAACTATCAAATGTCCTAAAAGCTGATTCCCCAACCCCAGACAACAATTTGACCATAACTTCATAGGAAAGTCAGAGCTACCAGCTAAGCTGCTCCTGGATTTCTGACCCTCAGAAACTTTAAGACATAGCATTTGAGGTACTCTGTTAGACAGCAATAGATAACCAATACATTGTACTTAGGGTACAGTTTGTCTATGATATGATAAGCTAATTTTTTCTAAATATAATAACTAAACTGCATTGCTATATAAACTAGAATACACAAAGGAACCTTTTAATTCATCAGAATAGAGTACTCATCACCTTGTCAGGGCATGTTCATAAGATAGGATTATTATTCTTAGCATTGAACATCTTGAATGTGACCTTGCTTGTATGCAAGATAATGGTGGGGGGTAAAAATCCAGACCAGTGTGTTACAGTTTAGTACATCAGGCCCTGATCTAAGATTTAGGCTTCAAATTTATCTGTTCTTCACCATATTTTAACATTAAAAAAAAAAAATACTCTTCATCCTACCTGAATGAGGCATTTGCTCACATCACTAGCACAGAGTGCTTTATTACAACTCAGTGACACAGGGATCCACATCAGGAACATCAGGATGGCTAGAGTAAGCACAACATAATGTGACTTCATGTTTCTTCAGAGAAGACAATAAGCAACTCCCAGGAAGCTAAATAGACAAAGAAGAAAAACAAACAAACATTAATTCAAAGATAGGTTCTAGGGTAAAAACAAATACAAAAATGATAAAACCAACAGACCAAGACTCCTTGTTTATTTCAAAAGACTTTAGAGAAATTATATAAAGATGTTCTCAATGACAGTGAATTTAAATAGTCAAAAGTAAACTACAATTTAATATAGCAACATCTTGTTAGCTATTTTGAAAGATTTGGAATACTGAAATTCTTCAGACTACTCAGAAATAGCAACTGTGTAAGTCATAAACCCACTGCCACTGAGTCGATTCTGACTCATAGCAACCCCCACTGGGCTTCTGAGGCAGTAAATCTTTACGGGAATAGATTGCCCAGTCTTGTGTCCATGGAGTAGCTGGTGGGTTTGAACCACCAACCTTGTGGTTAGCAGTCAGGTGTCTCAGGCACTGTGCTACCAGAGCTTCTTGTATTTAGGTTATAGTAAAAAATAAATCCTCAGTAACCTGAGAATGTATCAAGCAAATACAGGTATCCTCTGCTTTTCCAAAGTTTGCTTTATGCAACTTTGCATACTTAATGAAAGCTCTACATTAGTGCCAGTTTTTGCTAACCGAAAGAAATTCCAAGTGGATTTTCACTTTAACAAAAAAGGAGAAAAGCAGAAACAGTGCTCAGCAATTATTTTGCAATCAACCAATAAAAAGGCAGAGGCCGGGGTCAGCCAGAATGGCCACCAAGCTCCTTCCCCAGGAACTCTATATGCAATATCTCCACATCAAACTGCCAGTATCTATGAACTGTGTCCGTAAGCATCTGTCCTTTGTCCAGATTTATTTTGCGCGAATCTGTTAGCAAGATGTATCCTAAGGTATTTTTGGGGTCTGGGAATGCTCAGAAACTTTTCCCATACAAATTAAATGGTAATTGCTTCTTTACTTTACATCATTTTGGCTTACCAAAGATTTCATAGGAACACTTCTACTTTCGAATACCAGGGCAAATCTGTAAGTATTTTCAAAACTGCACTGCCACTGTTCAAATTTACTTTTAGGTCCACTACCCAACTTTAAGCCTATATAATCTGTACTATAAAATATTTAACAATATTTTAATTCTTACAGTGAAAACAAATTTTAAATGCAAACTACTCTAGTGATAATATATGACTATCTCATTTTTTCTCCCAACAAAATTAGCCAGAATCAAACAGATCAAAGAAAGGAATCCACAGTCATTACCTAAATAATTCAGCAAATAACAAAGGAGATAATAAATTATTAATTGTATTAAGAACTCTGGATAATTTATGTATTTTATATATATATAATTTATACAAGACATTCTTTTAACTTTTTAGTGCTACAGAGTCTTCAGTTATTACGTAGATACTATAGTTAAAAAAGAAAAAAGACTGGCACAAATTCTGATAGGAATTAAACCACCAACATGGTTATTAAACTTTAAAAATGATATAACTTCTTAAGGTTAAAACACACACCTAAAAATTAATTAAAATAAATGAATGCTGAATGAAGGATAAAAGCTGGGTTTATGTTTTTATGATTACTTTAAACCTTTATTCTAAGTATTACAAAGTACAATAAAGCAAAAACAATTAGATGGTAAAAAAAAAAAAAGAATAAAGGGCTTTGTACCGGTATGACTCAATTCAGAAAGAGAAAGCCCTGGTGATTGTTACTGGAACCCATGAAGCATTCCTCAAAAACCGTTAGTACCTCAATTTTGTAATTTAACAACACACAGCAAGTCGGCTGATTTCTGAAGCCGCTAGTATGTATTTGTGGAGGCCAACTACAACGACAACTGGAAAGGAATAAAATAAAAAAATCTTTTACGGTTGTGTTCTGAAATGTTTAACAATGCTACTCCCAAAATCTTACCAGAAAACGTGTTCAAGTAGATGTGGGCATGTGCAAACCAGGTAGCAGAATTATTTAGTTCTTTAAAGAGTTGGAAACAATAACCTACTGGAGCGGCTGTCTACCCATCCTGGCCGGTGTTTGCTACCTCAGCTTTGCGCGCGGTCTGGGAGGCGGAGGGCAGACGGCGGTTCGTACCGAGACCACCAGGCAGCCTTCGCGGCTGCGGGGCCGAGCCGGGCGTGGAGCCTCTTCCGGCAGAGGCGGGGCCCAGGCGGAGGGCCTGGAGATGTTGCCTGGGCTCGCGGCGCCCGGCCCGGCCCGGCCCCGCAGAGCGAAGGCGACCTCACCATACTCCAGTACCCACGTCGGCGGCCAGGCCGCGCAGAGCGTGAGCGTCTCGGCGCCCTGGAGCCCACGCCCACCGCCCGCTCGCTGCCGAAACCGTACGCTCACCGCGCCTCGTCCCCCAGAGGTTCCGGCCGAGCCCCGCGCAGGCTGTACCAGAAGGCCAGGCCGCGCCTCCGCGCCGTCCCCTCCGCGCCGCACCCGCGAGCCTTGGACACTTCAAAGAGACAGGCCTGGCCGTCGCCCGCAGTCCTGGTCAGCCACTCCCTCCAGCCCCGCAGCCGCCAGCTCCCGCCAGGAGTAGTCTCTCACCCAGCCGGCTCTCGGGTTCGTGCGTTCGCCCCGCCCGCAGCGCTAGACCCGCCCCCTGCAGCCGGCAAGCCCCCAACATGCTGTGCAGGAGACCCACCCCTGGTCACGGGCCTGCCCCTAACAAGCCGCGCAGAACCGGTCCCCGGCCGCAGGCACGCCCCCGACAAGCCTGGCCGCGGGCACGCCCCTAGCCCCGGCTCGGTGCTTAGCCGCGGGCACGGCCCTTGCTGGCCCGCAGAGGCCTCGTCCCAGCCTGTCCCCCGCCCAACTTTGCTCCCGTCCCCAGGGACACACCCTCTTGAGTATCCCATGAGTACCTTGGTCAGGGACACTGCCCACCGGCTTCTTTCCCACTTACAGCTACAGTTTTTTGTCCTCATACCCAGACTTCGGCAGACCCTTCCTGTCAGACCCCTTGTCTGAGTGTCGAATGTTGTGATCAACAATTACTAATGATTAAAGGTTTATCAAGGACTATTCGACTCGACACACAACAACAACAACATTCACTGTGCTGAGACTGTTACATGAAGTAATTCATGAAAGCTACCTGAAAGGTGGCTATTAATGGCTTATTATAAGCATGTACCACCACCCCTTCCTCAGAGTGTTGTATACTCAGGTGGCATGTGTGTGGCTGTTTCAAATACCAGCAAAGTCGCTCATGGTGAACAGGTTTCAGTGGAGCTTCCAGACAAAGAAAAAGAAAATAGCCTGACAATCTTCTTCCAAAAATTAGCCAATGAAAAGCTGACAGAACATTGTCTAATTCCCTTGCTCTGAACACATCATCAATTGCTGAAGGAAGACATCATGTTTGGTAACCACTGAGGGTGAGAGAAACCCTCAGTGAGATGAATTAGCACAATAGTCACGATGATGAACATGGTGATAATTGTGATGATGATCAGGAACAGGCAACATTTTATTCTATTGTACATAAGGTCACCATGAGTTGGACTGGATGGCACGTATCCATCTATTCATCTAAAGATATTCAAGACTGAGGCACAGAGGGGTTAAGTAGCCTACCCAATAAAGTAGTGGAGCAGGCACATTAATTCTTGTTATTTGACTTTAGAGCCAGGACTTAATAAAAATGAAGGTTTCTGGGATCCAACTCAGAAATACTGAATAAGATCACCAAGGGTAGAGACTTCCAAACTTATATCAGCAATTCATTAAATTTTGCTGAGCTCTTGGTGACTGCCTGGCCCTGTGCTTAGCATTAGAAATATGGAGGAGGAGGAACCATGGGCCTTCACAATCATGAACTTGTAGCCCACCTCCTAGTCTAGGTAAGATAGGGCTACGGAAGCATGTGCAACTCCAGCACTGATCTCAGCCTTTATTTTAGAAAATGGAATTCATCCCACCATACTTAGCATATAGATAAAGGAAACTGAAAATTACACTCTGTTCTCCTCAAACCTGAGAATCTGCTTTTTAAATAAAAAGCAATGGTCTAGGTGAACTACAAGATGCTTTCCCCTTGGAAATGATGACCTAGTGCCACACACTCATTAATAAATTATGATAATCCAAGGCAATAAACCCATCACTTGTCTGTCAGTTTGTCATACTGTGGCAGCTTCTGTACTGCTATGAGGCTGGAGGCTATGCCACCAGTATTTCAAATACCAGCAGAGTCACCCTTGGTGGACAAGTTTCAGCAGAGCTTCCAGAATAAGACAGACTCGGTAGGAAGGGCCCATCCACTTCTCAAAGAAATGGCCAGTGAAAACTTTATGAAGAGCAAAGAAAGACTGATATATTACTAGAAAACTTTATGAAGAGCAGTGAAACATTGTCTGATATAGTGCCAGAAGATGGGCCCCTCAGGTTGGAAGGCACTGAGGAAGATCTGCCTTCTCAAAATAGAGTCGACCTCAATGATGTGGATGGTGTAAAGCTTTCAAGACCTTCATTTGCTGATGCGGCACAACTCAAAATGGGAAGAACCAGCTGCCAACATCCATTAATAATTGGAACGTGGAATGTATGAAGTATGTATGAAGTATTTAGGAAAATTGGAAGTGGCCAAAAATGAAATAGAATGCATAAAGATTAATTTCTTAGGCATTTGTGTGCCAAAATGGAGTGGTATTGGCCATTTTGAATGAGATAGTCATATGGTCTACTATGCCAGGAATGACAAATTGAAGAGGAATGGCATCACATTCATTGTCAAAAAGAATGTTTCAAGATCTATTCTGAAGTACAATGATGTCAGTAATAGGATAATATCCATTCCTGTAAGGAAGATCAGTTAATACAACAATTATTCAAATTTATGCACCAACCACTAAAGCCAAAGATGAAGAAACTGATGATTTGTACCAACTTCTGTAGTCTGAAATTGACCAAACATGAAATCAAGATGTAGAGATTATTACTGGTGATTGGAATTCAAAGGTTGGAAACAAGGAAGAAGCATCGGTAGCTGGAAAATACAGCTTTGGTGATAGAA